AAATTATTCATTCATATTTTCACTTTCTATGCTTTGGATTCATCTTCTTTATTCTGTTTTACATTTCATAAGCAATCAATAGAAACGAATAAATTTGTTGAACATGCTGACAAAAACAATGAGTCGTTCACTGTTGAAGGAAATGTCAAATATTTAATCAATCGCTTAGATCTGTTTGCATTAAACGCATTTAAATGAAATTTGTTTGATTTTGGGGGTTGTTCGTAAATGACGTCTGTTGAGTAACTAGGTTATTATAATCTGGATCGTATTTGGACTATCAGATCGTTCTCTAGACAAGAGATGGAGTAAAAAGAGGTTAGGAGTCAGACCCAAAAAACATAGGACATCATTTATGAACAACTCCTTTATGTAAATCACAAACATGTTTCGTTTAACTCTTGTTTTTTGAGAAAATTGTTTTTCAATCATCAAACAAAGAACAAATACAATACCTGTCATTCAATGTACATCTTATAGATGAATCTCGTACTTTTTAGAATGATTTCCATCTCAGACTGATTGAAATTGAATCCATGGTAACATTTTTGTGTGTAGGAATTTGCCATTTCTATGACAATTTCATGGTTGAAAGTCTTCTCACTTTGTGATGGATTTTCTTGAAAAACCAACTCTATGAAATATTCTCGGAATATTCTTATCTTCGTATTACATTCTCCCACAATTCATACTTTGTCATTTCTTAGTATCAATTTTGATGTAATTTGATGAGATTCTTATTGCGTGCTGAATTTGGGAGTCAATTGATTGAATTAAAAGACGAAACGAAAAGACGCGTGTCAGCTTTTGTGGGAGTTTGAAATTTAATAAAAATGATTTTTTTGCTTGACATTTTCGTTAACAAAGATTTTCTTGGAATACTTTTCAGAATCTGAATGTATTCACATGTCTTTCTAAATGTGCTTTATCTTGCTTTGGAATCATAATGGATGCTATTTTTGGATGTATATTATTGGATTAACTTGTAAAATTTAGCTTAAGAGTTTAATATGCATTTGAACTGCATAGTCTGTATTGAATTCGAATGAATGATCAACCATTTCCAGATTCATGTTCTTATCATTAGACTATCGAAGGCTCGTCGCCATATTTTTAATTTCATTTGAACTTTAATCCTAAAATGGCATTTCAAACATTGAATTACTTCGAAAAATTGTCAATTCTCGAACTTATTCCATTCAATTCATCGCAGAAGAATAGCTTCTAGCACCAACCATCATTAGTTCAGTTCCCAAACTTACAAAATATTCTCAATTATAAAAAATTTCTTTGTCAAGTCGATCATAAAGCTTTCCCATGCTATTGTGAGAAATTTTGTGCTAGAAAATAAATTTGAGTCGTAAAAAAAAATTCGATTGAGTAAATTACAGCATTTCCCCTAATTCCTCACCAATGCAAGACAATGTGTGATTTTCGTTAATGAGTATGATTAAAAATTTATTACAAGTAAAAAGGTTCCTTTCTTCTCGACTTTCTCTTGATTGATTTCTTTTGAAAACATGTTTTGCTTCTTCCTTCCCATTGACTTTTCGAGACATGTACAGACATATAAATCCACATTAAAAACCAACGCAAATTCAAGAGATTCGTCTATTTAACATCAAATTAATTACCTGTCATGACATTTGAGCATTTAAGCATTTTGTATGGCGACATGATGTGTTGCATTGAAGCAACTCATATTTCTTTTTTGTTCATAATTTTGCTTACTGACAAGTTTTAACTCATCGTCAAGTTAGTGTGCGTTAAATATCATTGAGAGATGCTTAGAAATATCATTTTATTGGATGTAAAACTCAAGGTTTATAATAATGAAAGATGTTTTGCTTTGGAATTTTTTAAACGTTAAAGGTGAAGTTTGCTAGGCTCATTGAGGTACAAAGAGGTTCTTCTTAGTTGCGCATTAAGAAGAGTGCCTTAATTTACAGTGAACTTTTATATTTTGTCGAAATGTTACTTTAGGTTTTATAAATTTTTAACAACGCTTCAAGCTTTAATAAATTTGCTAGGCTTCAGAACTATAAAACTTACTCCAATAGCACATCTCCCAGCATCTTTCTTAGTTTCAATAGTTCAAAGATTTAAAAGATTAAAAGATAAAAAGCTAAGAAGCCATAAGCATACCCACATCCTTAGAAGTAATCTCTAGATTCCAAAAATATCTCATCTCAAAATTTAATGAACCTCCTTCTGAATCCATTGCAAAATAACCATAGATACTCTTGATGATACCAACCAGCATACCAAAATGTCTTTCATGCCTACAAAATACCACTCGAAATTTTCATATTTTTTTTTAATACGGAGAAAAAACAATTTTATTGAATCGAAAAAAGACTGAAAAAAATTTCACAAGCCCATCTTAAAAGTCTCATCTCGTTTCTTCTTTTAAGCCTGCTCGTTTTGTGAAGGTGAGAAAACTGTAAAGAGAAAGAAATAAAATAAAATTAATAGAAAAAAATTTAAATTGCAAAAATAGATACAACAGTCAAATGTAATGATCACGCATAACATAATAAATAAAATGGAAAGTTACTTATTAAGAAGCGCCCGGTATCAACTTTATATTGTTTGTGGCATTTCACTCTGCAAGTTTTTATTGGATACATTATGATAATATGACACAAGAGAAATGGTTGGTGAACTATTCAAAAAAAAAAGCGGAATCGATAAAAGCTGATGAAAATGTGCATTGGATATACAACAAAAAAATATTTATGTTCATCATCCATTATGCCTTTGACATTATTCTCGTTTCTCTTTCAACTTTATGTATTTAATAATTTTTTTTTGCATAAAAATTTCTGTTAAGGAGGAACAAGAAAGAGTTTCACGGAAATAGTTTTTTTATGTCTGTAGGAGCTTTAGCATGAGTCAAAAAATATTACGAAATATTGAAGCTACGGTGTTTTTATAAAATTATTATTAAAATTTATTTTATGGAAATTAATGACTTTATATACTGAGTCATGACATGCTGACTTCTATTATCCTCAGAGTTGATTATGCTGGTAAAAGATTCATCTTTAAGATTGGTGCTGCGAAAATTTATTTTGCCACCAGCAATGTCTACCGCTGATTTAGTGAGATTGACAAATAATTTTCTTGAAAGAAATTTCTCCATCTACAGGAGATGCAGCATATTTTTATTCAAATAGCCTTTTTTGTAAAAGGTCAAGCTCATATAGACGAAAAATTATTCATTAAACAATTTGTCGCCTCGAGGCAATTTTTTCATGCCATCTTATAAAGTTAACAATTCAATTTGACATCAAAGAAGTAGCATAAAAGATTGATGGGGTACTTAAACGTGTTTTGCGGTTACTTCTTTTATTTGTTGAAATAAAAATTATTTTAAAATCAACAATTCGAAATCGATTTATTTTTGAATGATGAACGCGGAAAGGCTTCATTGGAGGGAGAGTTTCAGGAAGTTATGATATTTTGAATAAGTAGAACTCATTTCATATTTAAACAGAGCAATTTAATGTTGTTTGTAATGCGACTCGAACACATTCAGGGACTCAGATTTGCAGTTGAGTACCTTAACCAGGAACGTAACCTAAACTTACTGAAATAACTGCTAAGCCGCATTCAGTTTTAAATGAATTCATTTCCTCAAACTCTGCTTACAAAAAACAAGCAAAACTCTAATCAAAAATCATCATGAGAAGCTCAATTTAAGAATTATGGAACTATTCTCACCAAAATCAGATATTCAATTAAAAAAATTTTCATTGATTCATAAAAACTTCTCGACGTAAAATATCAAATAATTTTTAATCTTCCATAAATCTTTCGATTATTTCATTATTCGTATTATTTACCTACACGACTTAAGGCGGGGCGGAGAGAATGAAATAAAATATAAAATTGCTTGCATTGTTCATAGCTTTCATCGCTTTAATTGATTTCTTTTCTTTTTCTGATACTTACTTCAATCTTTTTATTGTTTCTGTTTAGTTTTATTGCCCTCACTAAAGCCTTCTTTTTTTCATTTCATCTTTCTCATGATGCTCAAAGTCTTCACCTCTTTTACGAACGCGTACCGTTTTGCAAGAAATAAAGAAAAATGTCTATTCCTAAACATGATACAGTGTTGCACAATGATGAGTAGTAATTTGGAAGAAACTTCCTAAGATGGTTAAGACACATTTCATTTTATAAAACAGGGAAGGTCAAAATGGGACTACTTTGCATGTCATAACAATTCTCATTAAATTTGTGTTGACAATGACTTAATAATAGCTGCTTTTTATTATGGTGACGAAGAAGATGATCATCATCTAATGTCATATCGTTGATGCAGATAGATGAAAATTGTCAACTAATTAGCAATGTCTGAAACATAATACGTTTGGGTTGAGTGGGGCTTTGGATGTACCGGGGATTACTTTTGCTGTTTTGATGCCAACAGGCATTAAATTTTGTAATATTTGAAGCTTTTAATGATTCCTAATGAAAATTGTAATGTTGATGGCTTAGGATATGATTGAGTTGAACTAGAACTTAATCGAGGATTTGAGGTAGAAAGCAAACTTACAAAAGCTGCTGATTGTACTAATCAAAGCGTCAGCACATATTAAAATTAATACCAATTATCCGTTCATTATGATCCACATCCTTTTACTTATTGATTACCTAATCAGCACTGTAAGCTTCCCAAACTAGTATTTCAACTTTCGACACCAAAAACCCTAACTAGACAGATTAAATAAGCAAAGATGAAGAAGAGGAAAAAAGTGATGAATACAGAAGAAAAATAATAAAAAGTTGCACACGATGCACTTTTACTTGCTAACTTACCTCTTTCAGCTTACATAAGCATTTACTCACTTCTCACCCACAGTGATTGTTTTTTGTTTGTTTTCGTTTCGGATTATATTCATTAAAATTGCAAAGTTACTAAATGAGATCTCTTTGCATAACAGAAGGGGAGAAACAAGAGACACTAATTATGTTATTCTTTCTTATTACAGACATACAAAATAAAGACATCTGAAAATGACATCGTGAAAATCCATCACATCGTCGATAGTTTCGATAAATCACAATATACAGTAGCATATCTTAAATAAGTAATATCATTTGCACATATCCCTAACTTATATATATATATATCTGCAATAATAAATCTCGACTGAAAATCATTCCTGAAGAGTAGACGAGCAGAGTCAAGACATAAAAAATGATTTGTAGACGAAAATCATCACTTTTTAAAATTCTCTTAGCCATTCTCGCAATATGGTTCACAGTTGTGTTCTTTTTCTCTGATAATAACCGATCATCAGATGCCAATGTCATACTATCGCCACAATTATTACAACAACATGAAGACCATAATGCCAAATCATATGATAAATCAAATAAATTTAAAAATTTCATCATTGATAGTTATAAAGATGCACACGAAGGAATTGCTAATGCAATTGTAAATAAGAAATTCCCACAAGTTAATCCATTCGAGAAACCGGAAGTTGATGAGAATGATATGATTAATGCAATAGCTGGCGAGCATGAAGAGGAAGTGAGAGAAGAGCAAGAACAGCGTGAGGAGAAACGACCATCGACAAAGTCAAAACTTCCTTCAAAGAAGCGATTCGGACAGAAGGATGGTGAGGATGTTGGCTTCATCCCACCACCCAATGATTTAGGTTTAGAAAGTCCTGGTAAGCAAGTTTTATGACGCGTACATGTAATAAATAAAATTTATTGTTGGTCATGTTATATCTGTTTTTCGCAGGCGAATTGGGTAAGCCAGTGACATTGCCAACTAATTTAACTGCTGATGTAAAAAAGATGGTCGACGAGGGATGGGTGAAAAATGCATTTAATCAATATGTTTCTGATCTCATCAGTGTAAGACGTAGTCTTCCCGATCCACGTACGAAATGGTGTAAAGAGTCTGAGAAGGATTATAATAAGGATTTACCCCAAACATCTGTGATTGTTACATTCCATAATGAAGCTTGGTCGACATTACTTCGGACAGTTCATTCAATTTTAGACAGATCACCAGATCATCTCATAAAGGAAATTATTCTGGTTGATGACTTCTCTGACATGCCACATTTGAGGAAGCAACTTGAGGATTATTTGCTCAATTATCCAAAAGTTAAAGTTTTGAGAGCCAAAAAACGTGAAGGTTTAATTCGTGCTAGACTTTTAGGAGCTGTTGAGGCAACAGCACCGGTATTGACATTCTTAGATTCGCATATTGAATGCACAACGGGTTGGCTTGAGCCATTACTAGATAGAATTGCAAAAAATACAACAACAGTTGTTTGTCCTGTGATTGACGTTATTGACGATACAACTCTTCAATATCATTATCATGACTCAACGGGTGTTCAAGTCGGTGGATTTGATTGGAATTTACAATTCAATTGGCATCCTGTTCCTGAATCGGAAAGAAAACGTCACAAAGATCCATCAGAGCCTGTATTTTCACCGACTATGGCTGGTGGATTGTTCTCAATCGATAAAGTTTTCTTCGAACGTTTAGGAATGTATGATCCAGACTTTGATATTTGGGGTGGTGAAAATCTAGAGTTGAGTTTCAAGACATGGATGTGTGGCGGTACTCTTGAGATTGTCCCATGTTCTCATGTCGGTCATATCTTTAGAAAGAGATCACCTTACAAATGGCGAACAGGTGTGAATGTTTTAAGAAGGAATTCTATCAGATTGGCAGGTAATTTATTACTTTAGGTCATTAGACTTGAAGAAGTGTGGGACTTGAATAAGCATTCTTTTTACAGAGGTATGGATGGACGATTACTCAAAGTATTATTATCAACGCATTGGCTCAGACAAAGGTGACTTTGGCGACATCAGCGACAGAGTAAAGTTGAGGACTGATCTTCAATGCAAGACTTTCCAATGGTACCTCGATACCATCTTCCCAGAATTGGTAAGTATCAATAAAAAGTGCATTAACTCAATTTATTGATGACCTTAATTACAATTTTTGTCATGAATTATGCTGCTGCAACTTTATTGCATTAGCTCATTCCTACAAAAAACTTATAAGAATTTGTCATTTTAATAGCAGCAATTTACTAATGATGTTTAAATCTACAGTTCATTCCAGGTGATGCAGCAGCACAAGGAGAGGTAAATTTTACAGTCTTTAGAATTTTTGATTCAAAAATACAATTTTACTTGATCATTTTAATCCACAAAAAAAAAATTAATTAATTATTACAAAAAAAAACAATTAAAAGGTGAGAAACTTAGGCTATGGAAATCGCTCATGTCTTGATGCACAAGGTGGTAAAAAAGGGCTACGAAAGCCTGTCTCATTATATCCCTGCCATCGTCAGGGTGGAAATCAAGTAAATATGAAGACGAGATACTCGAAATAGTTTAGTAGCAAAAATTATTGGTTGTTATATCCATTATTTTTTGAATTCCTTATTATTTTCGACCTATGTATTTTATATTATTTCATCTTGTTGTTTTCACTTAGTCTATTGGATTTAAATGATCAGTACGTGATGTTTGGTGTCAGAGCTGAGTGGGATCTGATATTTTGTGGTATATGTAAGTAGGTGCCTTGCTGAGTAAGAGCTTAGGTTGCAATATTTCAAGAAGATCCCACAATGCTCGACAACACCTTAAGCGACTTGTTGATTTCTTTCTATAATTTTTTGTTCTCTTCAAAAAAAAAAATATTTCTCAAAATCTATTCAATCTATAGATCAGAAATAATGCCTCAAATACGTGTGTCGATTCTGCTGTTAAGCCAGATGATTTACAAGGGCCGGTTGGTTTATGGCCCTGTCATAACCAGGGTGGCAATCAGGTATTTCAAAAGAACCAAAAATCTTTCACTTACTGCTAGTTCTATGTTGAAACTTCTGGTGAATGAACCCAAGAAAAAAAAATTTATGCTTAACACATCAATTGAATATTTTGTTTTTAAGTTTTTCTTTCCATTTTATGGTGTTGGATGCTTTAATTACCCGAATGTGCTATCTCCCATTACTTCCATCTTAATTCATCTAATTCTATTTTTTCTTTCTTTCGCTACATACAAATAATGGTGTTGGATATGAAAGAGTAATTAGTAATAATGCAATTAAAAAAAAAATAAAATAAACAGAAATAAGTATAACTATAATAATTTTTGCTGCTAACCCATGAACCATGTATTTAATTGCTAATTCTTATTAAATATTAATTGCATAGCATTAACATTCAAAATCCATCTATCTATTCAATTAAACAGTACTGGATGCTATCGAAAACGGGTGAAATTAGACGAGATGAAGCGTGTCTGGATTATGCAGGTTCTGATGTTATTCTCTACCCTTGTCATGGCGGAAAAGGCAATCAGGTGAGGAGGATGCTATAAATTTTCATTAAAATAAATTGGAATAACAAAAAACAACAATATTGTTTTTCAGTTCTGGACATATCGTGCTGATACAAAACAGCTTCATCATAAATCATCGGATAGGTGTATGGAAATAAGCAGTGACCATCAAAAGCTATTCATGTCAGAATGTAGTCCTCATAAAGAAGCTCAAAAATGGTTGTTTGAAAACTACGATCCTAGCAAAATGCTGATATAATCAAGGATTCAAATCTAAAAGGTTTATTCTATTTTTGAATATAGATGTGATAAATTGATAGGAGTGAAAATGAGAGATGAAACTTAATTTTATATTAATCAATGCAAAATGTTGAAAAACGAGGGTTGAGAGTTCTTTTACTTATCAAAAATTCAAGTCCTGTAATTTTTCAAATTAATTACGTTCATTAATTTGAAATTGTTAGGATTTTACATAAAAAGGATATTACAATGTGGGGGTTGGTGGTTTTTTATACATGTTGATGCTCAATTGGATCTAGTTGCGAAGAGTTGTAGTATCTAAAGATTATTAAGGATTCAAATGGAAGCTGTTTAAGTCAAAATCATTAAATTCGAGGACTTTCTACTAATACAGAGGATTCTCTAGAATTTCTCGTACTTACAGTTAAATAATTCACAAAAATGTTATATGTAGCCGTGCTATGGTCCTGGAAAATCCAAAAAAAAAAACATCACAATCAACCACAACCCCCCACGTCTACCCACTACCCCCTTTCCAACTGCCGACTTAGTCTTCAAATATAAACTGATTAACTAATGCATATTATATACATAAATTCAAACTTTTATCAGGTAGTCAGTAGAATTAAAGTGATTTTTTTTCCAATACATTATTATGATATACATATACATAAATGATGATACACTAGAGATAATGCATCAAAAAATTAAAAAAAAAAAACACAATTTAATGTTTGCTCAACAAATGAGAATAAAATTAATTCAAGATCGTACAAATTTTTATACAAAAAAAAAAAAAACTGAAAGAAAAATTGTAGACAAAAAAGAAGAAAATTTGCAATGCACATTTGCTGTGTTTTTGCTTTCATTCTATTCACATTCTGTGTACTTTTGAGAGTTGATGAATGAGGAACACAAAGAAAATTGTTATTTACACATATCTAGATATCCGACTTCTTTTTCATCTTTCCCATTTTTTTTACTTCATTATAAGAGATGAAAAAATAGAAATAAGAGAGGAACAACAGCAGCAAATAGAGGAAAAAAGAGAAGCAAAAAGCATTCCATTTTTATTTCACACAAATGATAAGTCTGAAAAGGAAAACATTTGTTTTATAATCCTACATGTTCATGCTGATTTCTTTACGTCTTCATACAGGCATAAGCAGTGTTGTTGATCTAAATGCCTGGGTTAGGTCAGATTATATCTCAATAAAGGATATTTTGGTCAGAGGTAAGCTGTTCGAGTTAGATTCAAATGTTGTAGGAACCTAGTCTAGTGTAGACGTCGAGGCAAGAGAACTAGCTTAGTTTCGATCGTAGAATTGTCTAAGTTTGGTCTAGATCTAGCAGAGCTCGAAGTCGACTCGAGATTTTTTATCGATTTCCTATGATGAAGTCAACTCCAAGTCGACTCGACTCCATACAAAATTTCGTCAATTTCGAGCTCTGAGATTTAGTCTAGGTTTGATTTTGGTCAACTCCTGAGCTAGGTTGAACTCTGAATAGCTATGACTTAACTGACCTAAACTATGAAAAGCTAGTAGCTACACCATTATTGAATGAACAAGCAGTAATATTAAATCCTTCCCTGGCATAAAGCTAGATTACCAACACTGCGCATAAGTGATAGTTTTTGTCTTAATTTTGTATTATCTTTTTATACGAAGCTTTCTCTTCATTTGTGCCACTAAGAATTTAAATACTATGAATATAGTCAAAGCATTTTTTTAAAATAAAATAAATATATAATCATGATGGCTATCAAAACTGATTCACATAAAATGCATAACAAATTTTATTTATTCACATGAATATGACTTTTAACATTATGCATATCCATGATTGTATGAATTTTTGAGAGGTTGAGTGCTTGATAGAGGTCAATTACCTTTTTTGGATTGAATAACATGCAATGAGTTTTGTGTTAAGCATTGCAAATGATGATGGATGAAGTACATTTTCAAGTCCCTTGGAGAGGATGTAGTCACAAAAATAGAATTTTCATAAGAGTTGAAAAATTCAGTAACAAATAGCTAAATTGAAACAACTTCCTGTCATGAGACATAATCCAGATACATTAACATAACACAACTCGACTCGTTTCCAAGAAGGATTTTGTTTATAGAATAAATATTTTCGCCCTGGGAGGGGAAAAAACAGTAAAAAATTATCATACGACTGCTGTAGGGCTAGTAATCGATTGACCCACGCTTGAGTAATTTTTAAGCACGTGCATTAAATGATGTTAAATTATGTGTGTACGATGTGTTTTTTCGTGGAAGCCAAAATGTATTGAATTTAATATGAATATGATTTCACTCCTCATTACCTCATATAATCGTGATTAAGGTGACAAAAATTGGAGATGATTATAATGAAATTTCATTGATTTAGTCTAGTTATTTTGAATGAATTGTGAAATTCATGGATAAAAATTTTAAATGCATAGAACCAAACGATAGAGAGCTAGTTCTCGCTGCTAGGAACTGATGGAAGTCTCTAGGAGCTAGTCTTCGTTATTAGGAGCCAGATTTGGTCCCTAAGAGTTTCGGACTTTGTTTCTAGAAGCTAATATTGGTTGATAAAAGCAAGTCTTGGTTGATAAGAGCGAGTCTTGGTCCAAATTAGCTACTCTTTGTCTATTGGAGCTAGTTCTAGTTCCTATAAGCTAGTCTTGTTTTCTAGCAGCTATAATTGATCGATATAAGCTAATTTTGGAACCTAGAAGCTAGTCTTGATTCATTATAAAACAGTTTATAAGGCGTTATTGCAGATTCCAATTAAATGATTGGCAAATATTCAAACTTCAATTATTGCCACCTGAAGATATGCAAATCAACAAAATCAAAGAATTTTGTACTTATTACTCTGATCAAGCCATTCAAATTGCATTCGTTTTTTGCTAGATAAATTAATTCTAAAGCATTAAAAAAAATTCCTTACTAAATCTTCTATAAAGAAATTAAAATGGATTTATAAATAAAAATATCATTCGAAAAAAAGAAGATGATTAAAATCTTTGACGTGCCTTAAAAATATTATCAAATAAATTAATTTAAAGTGAATATTGTAAATATCAAACAAAACAACCTTACATATCCGTAACCATATTTGGGTAAAATTCTACTATATATATATTTCCTACCTTTCTGAACATTTACTTCTAATTATAATATAAATAGACTGTTGCAATTGTAATAAAAGAAAGTATCTTAATTTTTTTTTCGTATGTGGTACTTAAAATAATTAATTTTCTTAGATAAAATATGAGAAATTGATTAAGCAATAATTAAATAAATTTTTTTGTTATATTTTTTTTTGTCAATGTGTATTGTTCAAAAGTGAAAGTACTTTAAGGATTAGTTTGAATTTTATTTTTAAAAAAATTATTATGCAATACAAGCAAATTCAAAAACTATTATAAAAATCAGTATATGAAGATGAAAATTATAAAAATTAAGCTCTTCAAATTGTATGATTGACACACAAAAAAATTGTGAATATTAAAAAAATTAAAGCACAAATATTGATTATTAAAAAATATGAAAATTATGGCCTTTTTATTTCAATTTTTCAGGATGATTTGTTTGATTTGATTTTGAATTTTCAGATTTTTTTGGGATATTTTGTCGATTTTGTCCATATAAATTCAATTTTTTGATGCCAGATCAGTAATTGGAAGATTCTGAAGGTTCGTCACTTCCTAATTGAGTGTTTAAAATCACAGCCTTTAATGGGGTATCTTTGTGATGAATTTATGCAACCTTATAGGAATAATGAACGAGTAGTTTCTCTATTAAGCATCAATTCTAACATTTCTGCTGATATCGACTCAAAAACTGACTAGAGCAAAGGAAATGAGATACTGAATCATTCACAGCCTTACTTCAAACCTCAACTACACTTATTAAACAACAACAGAATCCATTCCTTAGCAAAAAGCATCATCCAAGCCACGCGGTACCACATTATCAATTCAATCGATAGATGTATCAGTCATAATAATTATACAACTATAAATAAGTTTGTATTTGAAAACAATCATTTCAGCTGAATAAATAAATTCCCATCTCTCTAGCTTTTGCCTTGCTACTCATGAATTATTGTTAGTATCACATCAATGCTCATCCTAAAATGATCAATAGACGATTTAAGAAGCTTTTTTTTGCTTTATTTTGCATTTTCTTCCTTTACTTTTTTGTAAAATATGGATTTGAGCAGAAGGATGAAGTAGAGTCAGTGTTTGGACAGAGTTTGGATAGAAACTTTGAAAGGATTCGTTCAAAAAAGCATCGAGAACCCCATTCAAGTAGTGAGATAACCGCGGACGTTGCTATTTGGAATGCAGTTGAGAAGCAATCACCTACAACTGAAAGTCGAGATGACAAAATTTTGAAAGAATTTTTGGAAAGGACAAAAGCACCAGAAGTAAAAACTGCTCAGCCAGCAGTCAATAACTTGCAAGGTTTAATTCAAAAGCACAGGAAAAACAATCGAGACAGTATCCAAAATAGTCCTAAAATTGACAAAATTGACATAAATAATATTAATAAGGCAGATATTGACAAGATTGTTGACGAGCTTATGGCAAAATTCAAGACTGAAAATCCTGAAAAGAAAACTGAATTTAAAAAACCAGCTGAGAAGAAAATGTACGAAAAATTTACATCCGCTGAAAACAAAAATGACTCTAAAGATGACATAAAACCAGAAGAAGTTGTTCAATCCGAAATTGCCACAATTTCTCAAATAAAATCAGAACCTGAAGAAGAACTTGGTGAAGTTGACAACCAGGAAGCTATAAACAACAATGTTAAAGACCAAGAACCAAAACTAGACAAAAAGAATGATTCACAAGATCCAGCATTAATGAAACAACCTGAACAGGAAGAACTAGAAAGAATTGAGCAAAAACAACTAGAAACCGAAAAATCCACTGATTTAACAAACTCTACCAAACCAGAAAAATCAAAAGAATCACAAGAAAAATTAGCAGTCATACCCGAACCAGAACCCCCATTCCTACGAGATATAAAAATAGATTTAGGTGAACTTGGCAAGCCTGTCACACTTCCACCTGATTTACCTGATAATATCAAACAATTAGTCGACGACGGCTGGAAACAGCATCAATTCAATGAGTATATTTCAAGCTTAATATCCGTGAAAAGAAGTTTATTAGATTTTCGCTCAGATTACTGTCATGACAATCACAAAAGCTATATGAAAGACCTGCCACCCGTTTCAATTATTATTGTGTTCTATAATGAGGCATGGAGCACATTGTTACGCACAATTCATTCAGTGATTGATCGGACTCCGGCCAAACTCATTAAGGAAATACTTTTGGTTGATGATTATTCGGACATGCCGCATTTGAAAACACAATTGGATGATTATGTTAAGGAATCGGAATTTGAAGAGATTCGAGTGCTTCGAAATGCTAAACGAGAGGGATTGATTCGATCACGTAATAGAGGAGCGAAATATGCTAAAGCGAATATTTTGGTGTTCCTTGATTCACATATTGAGTGTACGAATGGATGGCTTGAACCGTTGGTCGATAGAATTGCAAGCAATAAAACATCAATTGCTGTTCCTGTCATTGAAAGAATTGATGATGAGACATTTGAGTTGCAACCTAAAGATAGGTCTCAATTTGTGTCACTTGGTGGTTTTGGATGGAACTTACAATTCCGATGGTTTTATATGAAATCTACAGCTAGAAAACATCCAGATGCACCAATTAGTTCACCAACTTTAGCTGGTGGCTTATTTGCGATTTCTACAGAATTTTTCAAGCGTGTAGGAATGTTTGACCCGGGTTTAGAGCTTTGGGGTGGTGAGAATCTTGAATTAAGTTTCAAAACATGGATGTGCGGCGGTCACATACAAATGATTCCATGTTCTCACGTTGGTCACGTCTTTCGTAAAAAGTCACCATACGAATGGTCAAGTGATGTTGATATATTCAGAAAGAACAGCATGAGAGTGGCAAATGTTTGGATGGATGATTTTATTAAGTTTTATAAATCAGCTACTGGACCTGATGACATGGATTATGGAGATATTAGTGATCGAGTTAAATTACGCAATGATCTTGAATGCAAAAGCTTTGCATGGTACTTAAAGAATGTTTATCCAGAACAAAGCATTCCATCTGACCAAGTTGCTTATGGACAAATTCAAAATTTCGGTTACAACAAAACGATGTGCTTGGATGGAAAAGCTGATAAAGCAACTCCATTCATGACTGTCTTCAAGTGTCATGGTAACATAAACTTTACTTTTGAGTGTATATGATTGATGATGTGACTGATTGACTTTTCAGGCAAAGGAGGCAATCAATTTTGGGAATATAATGGAGAAATTTATAGAGACAATTATTGTGTGACATATGAAGCTCATGATTTAATGACGAAACATTGTCGAAAATCTGATAAGCAAGTAAGTTTGTGGAATTTTGTCAAGAAGGGTTCTGGTGCTCGATATACGCTATGGGGAATGGTTTAGGAGATCCATTGATATCGAGCAATTGGATTAAGACTCTAATCCACTATTTCTCTTTCCATCACAGACTTTCAACTACGACCCATCAACTCAACAGCTTATTCTCAAATCCAACAACAAATGTCTCGAAATGACAAAAGACTTTAATCTCAGCATCGAGAAATGCGACAAAAAAATTGAAGCACAAAAATGGAAATTGGAAAATTTCGACAGCAAAAAATTGGAGAAACTATGAGTACGCGTAACACTTGAGTAAACAATGTCTCTATTAGCCAAAGATAAAAATGAGAATGTAAATTTTTTTTGTGTATTGAACGAATTTTAGAGCATGCATGTTTCTGTTGTTGATGTTCAATACTCAGTTAAACATCGATACGACATGTATCGTTTAATAAATTGTCGCTGTTTTAAAAGAAAATTCATTAAAGTTCTTACTTATTGCTGCTTAATCTCATTAGTCATAACTCTTTTCATATTTAGTCAAAAAACAGTGGAATTAACTAATTATCAGCAAATTAATGATGATGAATTAAGTACAAAGAAGGATGAATTAATCTCAAGAGGATTAAGAATTTTGGAAGCATTAGAATATGATATTTATACAATAAAACCTCCAGTGAATATATTCGGTGAAAATGTGAGTGTTGGGGAGTTTGGTGAGGCTGTAGTCTTACCAAAAGACATTCCAATAGAAATCAGAAAGCTTGTTGACAAAGGATTTAAGGATCATTCATTCAATCAATATTTATCCGACATTATATCTGTCAATAGAACACTCAAAGACGGCAGAACTGAATATTGTAAGAGCAGTGCTAAAAATTATTCAAGTTTACCAAAAACATCTGTGATTGTGACATTTCATAATGAGGCATGGTCAACATTATTGAGAACGATTCATTCAATATTGAATCGTTCGCCAGAGCAGTTGATTGAGGAAATTCTGTTGGTTGATGATTTTTCGACTATGGGTAAGAATTCAGCTTAAATGCCCAGATTATCAATGCATAGCTTCATTTTTCAGACCATCTCAAGCAGCCTCTCGACCGCTACATCAAAAAGATCCCAAAAGTCAAAATCATCCGCTGTGAAGAAAGGAAGGGCTTAATAAAAGCCAGAATCATTGGAGCAGTAGCTGCAAAAGCACCAACATTAACATTTCTAGATTCCCATGTAGAATGTACAATTGGATGGCTTGAACCTTTACTAGAAAGAATATCAAAAGATTCAACAAATGTTGCAGTTCCAGTGATTGACATGATTGATGATAAAACTTTTGGATATGACTGGCTAGATGCAACAGTTACTCCAATTGGTGGATTTGATTGGAGATTGACATTCAAGTGGATATTAGATACGAAGCCAAGATCAAATCCATCACTTCCAGTAAAGTCACCGACTATGGCTGGTGGATTGTTTTCAATCGACAAGGCATTTTTTGAACGTTTAGGAATGTACGATCCAAATTTTGACATTTGGGGTGGTGAAAATCTAGAATTAAGTTTTAAGACATGGATGTGTGGTGGGACACTTGAGATTATTCCATGCTCACATGTTGGACATATTTTTAGAGAAAAATCACCTTATGTATGGAGACCCGGTGTCAATGTGGTACGGAAGAATTTAATTAGAATGTGAGTCACACTTTTATCAATCACAATTGCTCAATAATTGGGAAAAAATTCATTTTTCAGGTCACAAGTATGGATGGATGAGTACGCGCAATTTTATCACATGAGAATTCATGCAAGTGAGAATGATTTGGTTGATGTCATGGAACGAAAGCTTCTTCGCAAGCAACTAAATTGTCATGACTTTAAATGGTACCTGAATAACATCTATCCAGCACAAATTGATCCATCGAAAGCACTAGCTCAAGGAAAACTAAGAAATAAAGTCAATAAAAAGTGCATTGAAGTAGAATCGTCAGCTGTCAGGCTTGAAATTTGTTACAAAAATCGTGACAGTCAATTTTTATTATTAAGTGAAGACAATGAGTTACGCAGGGATAACTTGTGCTTGTATTATACGAAAGGAAAAGTGTCGAGCAGCTATTGTATTAGAAATTTAAAGGGAAGCAATTGGAGTTATTTGACATCATCAAATCAAGTCTTTCATAATGCTACAAATAAATGCTTAACGGTTGACAATGATAATGGACTTAAATTAGACGAATGTGATTCATCGATTATGCGGCAGAGATGGTCATTTGAGTATATAAAAAGTGTTCATTATTAATAATTGAATGTTTCAAAATAATTTAATGTGTATTGAATATAAAAAGTTTCAATAATATATATGTAATACATGTGTTCGTGATATACACGTCGTTTCACATTTTTATGACAACATTAATTTTTATCAATGTATATTTTTATTTTTAGTTGTAAACTGAATTTTGACGAATTAAGACACTTACTGGGTGAAAAATGTCAACGTCAAAATTCAGAATATTCAGAATTCTTATATTTGCCGGTTCCATATGGCTCTTCACGGTTATATTTCTATACATTAGTTGGGAGTCGTTTATGGAAAATCAAATAAAGTCAAGAAAGTTTTCAAAAAATCCAGAAGATGACTTTTCAGTCACGAATCAGCCACGAGTGGTGTCAGATGTAGTTGTTCAGGAATTTCTTCAAAAAATTGAATCTAAAGAACTTCATGAGAATCTCATAGACAACAAAATTGAAACTCAAGCTGTACAAATAAGAAAAATAATTTCAACAGTCTCTCCAGACATTTACACTCGACTTGGCTTAACGCTCAATGCCGGTGAACACGGTGGTGGAATTAAACTTGGAGCTGATGTTCCGAAAGATATACAAACAATAGTCAACGATGGATGGCGACGTCATGAATTTAATGAACTTGTGTCTGATATAATTTCTCTTAATCGTTCATTGCCAGACCCAAGGTCGTTCTACTGCAAGAATGTTCAATACTCACAAAATTTACCAAAAACATCTGTTATTGTAATATTTCATAATGAAGCATGGTCGACTTTATTGAGAACTGTTCATTCGGTTATTAATCGGTCTCCCGATCATTTAATTGAGGAAATTCTGTTGGTTGATGACTTTTCGAATATGGGTAAGTTTTGTTGTTGTTGTAAAAAGTTTGAGGAAGTGTCTTATTGTGGTTATCACTCGATTGTTCTTTGAAGTTTCGGTAGTCTTGCATGTAAAATTAATGATAAGAAACAATTAATTACCTGCTAGTCAACCTACAACTTTTTAATTTAATAGTGTAAGTTTTGTAGCTTCCTAGCTTGTATTGTTTACTTTAGTAAAATTTAAATGTGTGATTATTAAGTAAAAACAAATTTTTCATTGATTAAATGCACATGCTAATATCGTTGTCCAATAAAAAAAACACTTCAAGGCTATGTTTCGCTCGGGTTTCTCGTAGATTAATCGCTTGAGTTATAGAAACCTTATCAAACTCTCTTTATCTCTAGATCATCTCAGAGAACCTTTAGAAGTCTACATGTCTCAGTTCTCAAAAGTGAAAATTCTTCGTACAGAGCAACGCGTTGGATTAATAAAAGCTAGAATTCATGGAACATTAGCAGCTAAAGGTCAGACATTGACATTCTTAGATTCTCATGTTGAATGTGCTGATGGATGGCTTGAGCCATTGCTAGACAGAATTGCAAAAGATCCAAATTCAGTAAGTTCACCAGTGATTGATGTAATTGATGACAATACCTTTGCATTTAGCTATCAAGATGATTTTGGACTTCAAGTCGGTGGATTTGATTGGGAAATGACGGTAAGCTAGGAATGCAGAACTCTATTTATGGTCCATTTTTAAGTAGAATATTTTTATTGCAGTTTGACTGGCACATGATACCCGAAAGAGAGCGAAAAAGAAAGAAGAATCGATCAGATCCAACAAGAACACCAACAATTGCAGGCGGATTATTTACAATAGACAAAGAATTCTTCTTAAAATTAGGAACTTATGATCCAGGCTTTGATATTTGGGGTGGTGAAAATCTAGAATTGAGTTTTAAGACATGGATGTGTGGTGGAACACTTGAGATAATTCCATGCTCACATGTTGGACATGTTTTTAGAAAGAAATCACCTTACAAGTGGCGACCTGGTGTTGATGTCATTAAAGTTAATTTAGTAAGATTAGTGGAAGTGTGGCTTGATGAGTATGGAAAGTATTATTACATCAGAAGAGGATCTGACAAAGGAAATTTTGGTGACATAAGTGATCGAGTAAAACTCAGAAAGGATTTAAATTGTAAAAGCTTCAAGTGGTACCTTGAAAATGTTTATCCAGAGATGATTATTCCTGACAATCTTGCTGAAGGTTGGGTCAAAAATTTGAAATTTCCACATAAGTGTTTAGACTTAAATGTACAAGAAAGCGAGTCAAAAAGCTATTTACAAAGCTATTCCTGCCATAATCAAGGTGGAAATCAATTCTTCGAATATACAAAAAATTTAAACCTTAGAAAAAGTGGTCGGTGCTTAGAGTACAATGCAGAATCTAAAGAATTAGTATATTATCCATGCCACAACCAGAAAGGCAATCAGGAATGGATATACAAATTAGAAACCAAACAATTAATTAATAAATTATCAAATAATTGTTTAGTCATGAAATTTAATCAGGAATTAAATCATCCAGCTAGTCCAACAGTTGAAGATTGTGATCCAAGCAGTGAAAATCAGAAGTGGGAGTTTCAATATGTATATAAAGATAAATTCAACTTACAAAATTTTTGATGATAGAAAATAAATAATTTTATTATTTTACTGTATTTTTAGTAAAGACATAATATTGAGTGCTAGAAAGTTGCTGAAGGATATTTTTTGTGTCTCTACTAAACATTTCCCCAAAGTAAAGTGACTCAATCTTAAAGCTCCATAGCTCTTACTTCTCATTTCTTATAGCAATAAACAAATTGAAAAACACATTTAGTGCTCTTATATAGTCATAATGATTTTCCACATTATCAATAGGGATGTCAACCAAATTGCATATAATTCGCACATAATCACTAAGCGAACAGTCTAGATTAGATGTAGGATAGCAGGCTTCGATCTTCTTTTCAACAGCATTTGGCCATTCGCTCATCAAATTGTCAATATTTATTTGTGTCTGTTGCTGTTGCATGAAATTATCATGAATACGATTTGCATGTAGCGAGGATATTTCATGGATCCATTTGTCAATGTCTTTTGGTGACTTTGCTAAAGCTGATGGTGCTGCTAACGGTTTTGCGAATATTGAACGTAACTTGATTTGTAGAAGAGCTTCCTCGCTTTGTTCACCAGGCTCGTCAAGCACAATCAATCCAAGTCGATTGATGTCATTCAACTGAACATTCTCGATTGACTTCATTGAATTTGGAGTGACTATTTTTAAAAAGCAATCTGTATCACCAACACTTGGTATGAAATCGGGTATAAAGACCTGAAGTTTGTAATCAATGTCAATACTTTGTGGTGTATATTTTGGAATGTACTGCATAATTTCCTTTAACTCAGCTGGAAATGATGAATCCAAATTTTCAAATTGCTTCAAATTGAATTCAAATTTCGGTGGCATTAGCTTGTCTGACATAACTCCTGATTCATTTGGATGACTCTTTAAGTATTGAGGACCATCTTCATCATCATCGTCTGACTTGCTGCTTGAATCTGTCGAATTGTTTGTATCCTCAATACTGTCAATGTTTAACTTCCGAAAAGGTTTTTTGATAAGCGAATCAACTTTTTCAAGCCTTGGCTTGTTATCCATCTGCAATGGTCGCTACACAACAAATAAATTAAGTTGCTCATCAAACTTATTTGAACTTTCTTACCTCGATTGGGATGAAATTCCTTTCATCTTCCCGTTCCTCATCCTCACTTTGAATAAATTTTACGGCACTACTCACATCTAAATCCAATTCCTCTGAATTATCAGGTGGCGTTGCAATGTTTCTTCCATTTTTCACGTCATGAACCTCATCATATGAATCCATTTTCGATATTGAATACATTTTTAGTCTGGAGGTGAAAAAAAAATAACAAATTGAAATTGTTTGGGTTTTTGGTGGTTGTCATGGAAGCGCGCGACTCAACAAGGGAATAAATTTCAAGAGTTGTTGTTGGATCAAATGAAATGTGGGCTGCTTTTCTTGTATAAATAATTCTCACATGCTCAATAAAATTAAACTTTTACATTAGAAAATCATCTGATTTCTGCAGGAATTGAACCTTAATTTTTAAATTAGAAATAGAATATCACCGTATCGTTTTTTGCTTTCCTCCTGTATACACTTTACATTGATCTTTAATATACGAATTATTTAACTTGTTTACCTAAATTTTCAATAAGATAAGCAAAACGTGTGTGCTGGTTTTATCTAAATTTTGCGAATTTATTGTAAAGTGCTTAAAAATAAATGACGCATATTTTTGTAAAAAGATTTTAAAATAAATTAAATTTAATATAATTCTTTAGATTATGACTCAATCGTCATCTATTATGTGTCATTATATTAACCAAAATTGAGATAAAATCGGCAAGCACGTTTAACTTATCTTAACAAATATAAAGTAAACATAATGAAATATAAACAAAAATAATCAGCTAAGGTAATAACAAACAAACTACTTAAATGAATTGCTGGATTAAATTTTTTGTATAAAAGTCTAAGGATTTCACACAAGAATCAACAGTAAAATTTGGAAAGCTTTAAAACAAACAAATCAAAGTGAATTAAACACAAAAATCAATCAATTAAAAATTATTCGAAAGTCAAACAAGAAAACAAATGAGAAGTTAAAAATGCGGTCAATATTCTTTCTTATTGCACTTTTTGGATTCATTGGAATCACCTTAGCAAATCACATTCCATTAGGTAATTCAGTTGTTTTATAAACAAAAATATTTGAATTTATCAAAATTTACTCAATTAGAAAATACTGATGAAGTCGAACCTGAAACCAGAGACGAAGATTCTAACGTTGAACCAACAAGCTGCTCACCAACGGAATGTGACAAATATTGTAAAAAAATTGGACACGTTTATGGTCGGTGCCAATGGGGAAATTGTCACTGTCACGATAAAAAAATGACTGGTGAGATCAAACTTGATGCCATATTCGATCCGGACGTAGAAGCTGGAAGTTGTTCACCAATTGAATGTGACAATTACTGTAAAAAAATTGGGAATGTTAACGGTCGCTGCCAATGGGGAAATTGTCACTGTCATGATAAGAAAACTGCTGATGAGCTCGAACATCATATTAATGCAAAAGATGAGCTTGAACTTGAAACCAAAGCTGATCTTGAAGTGGAACCAGCAAGCTACTCACCAATACAGTGCGATAAATATTGCAAGACAATAGGACATGTTTATGGTCGTTGTCAATGGGGAAATTGCCACTGTCATGATAAGAAATCAGAGCTTGAAACCCAAGATGATCTTGAAGTGGAACCAGCAAGCTGCTCGCCAATACAATGCGATAAATATTGCAAGACAATTGGGCATGTTTATGGTCGTTGTCAATGGGGAAATTGTCACTGTCATGATAAGAAATCAGCTAATGAGTTTGAACTTGAAACCCAAGCTGATCTTGAAGTGGAACCAGCAAGCTGCTCACCAATACAATGTGATAAATATTGCAAGACAATAGGACATGTTTATGGTCGTTGTCAATGGGGAAATTGTCACTGTCATGATAAGAAATCAGCTGATGAGTTAGAACTTGAAACCCAAACTGATCTTGAAGTAGAACCAGCAAGCTGCTCACCAATACAATGCGATAAATATTGCAAGACAATAGGACATGTTTATGGTCGTTGTCAATGGGGAAATTGTCACTGTCATGATAAGAAATCAGCTGATGAGCTCGAACTTGAAACCCAAGCTGATCTTGAAGTGGAACCAGCAAGCTGCTCACCAATACAATGCGATAAATATTGCAAGACAATAGGACATGTTTATGGTCGTTGTCAATGGGGAAATTGTCACTGTCATGATAAGAAATCAGCTGATGAGTTTGAACTTGAAACCCAAGCTGATCTTGAAGTGGAACCAGCAAGCTGCTCGCCAATACAATGCGATAAATATTGCAAGACGATAGGACATATTTATGGTCGTTGTCAATGGGGAAATTGTCACTGTCATGATAAGAAATCAGCTGATGAGCTCGAACTTGAAACCCAAGCTGATCTTGAAGTGGAACCAGCAAGCTGCTCACCAATACAATGCGATAAATATTGCAAGACAATAGGACATGTTTATGGTCGTTGTCAATGGGGAAATTGTCACTGTCATGATAAGAAATCAGCTGATGAGTTTGAACTTGAAACCCAAGCTGATCTTGAAGTGGAACCAGCAAGCTGCTCGCCAATACAATGCGATAAATATTGCAAGACGATAGGACATATTTATGGTCGTTGTCAATGGGGAAATTGTCACTGTCATGATAAGAAATCAGCTGATGAGCTTGAACTTGAATCCCAAGATGATCTTGAAGCAGAAACAGCAAGCTGCTCGCCAATACAGTGCGATAAATATTGCAAGACAATTGGGCATGTTTATGGTCGTTGTCAATGGGGAAATTGTCACTGTCATGATAAGAAGTCAGCTGATGAGCTTGAACTTGAAACCCAAGATGATCTTGAAGTGGAACCAGCAAGCTGCTCGCCAATACAGTGCGATAAATATTGCAAGACAATTGGACATGTTTATGGTCGTTGTCAATGGGGAAATTGTCACTGTCATGATAAGAAATCAGCTGATGAGCTCGAACTTGAAAACCAATCTGATCTTGAAGTAGAACCAGCAAGCTGCTCACCAATACAATGCGATAAATATTGCAAGACAATTGGACATGTTTATGGTCGTTGTCAATGGGGAAATTGTCACTGCCATGATAAAAAATCAGCTGAAGAAACCGAAAATGTGAATTGTGAATCCGAACATGGTACATACGATGACCCTAACTCAGAACTCGGAAGCTGTTCAGCTAAAGCTTAAATTTTATATTTTAACACTATATATTACTTAAATAATAAGAGACTGCTGAAACCAAATTTTTAAAAATTTGTGCCTGAAACATTTAATAATTACAAAAATATATTTGAACTATAAATAAATAAATATAAGATTGATTTCATTATGTAGCCAGATTATTCTTTAATTTATATATTTTGCTTTAGCTTAAATCAAAATTATTATTATAAATCATATGTTAACCATTATTTGTCTTTACAATGACAGTTTCCAAACTGGCAACGACCATAAACATGTCCAATTAATTTGCAATATTCATCACATGGTCTCGGTTGACATTTGGGTCCTAGTGCTGTAAATTCTAATTCAGAATCGTCACTGATAGCCAAGTTCATCTTACTTTCTTTAATTTGATCGTCATCTGTGAATTAAATGTTGCTCAATTTTGGTTTTTTTTAAACCTTTGAACTTACCAATGGGAGAAGTGGATGTTGATGCGATAAATGAAACAAGTGCAATAATAAAGAATGTGAAACGCATTTTGAAAATTATATTTGTTATTTTTTATAGGATTTCAATTTATTATAAAGAACTTTCAACTCGATTTGTTTGTTTTGAAACTTCAATAAGATTTAATCTATTAACAGCAAAAAAAGCGAGTTTATATACAAGATTTAATTTTTACTTATCTGTTACTTTTGCAATGATTTAAATTAAAGGTAACGATAAGAGAAACACTCAATGACATATTGCAAAATTTAATTATCAAAATTATATTGACCCAATTTGATATTGATTACCTATCTAAAGTTAAGATTCTCCAACTTGTATCAATTAAACAAAGTTGCAAAATCGTTTGCAATAAGTTGCTTAAATTAGGTCAATTGAAATCATTGCAAAAGGTTTTGATAACAACGGATATATATAATAGGGCACATCCATAGTAATAACAAACAGTAACTTTAAAAAACTATTAAACAAACAAAACAAGACAACAAATTCAAAAATCTTTAGAAAATTTAAAACAAGAAGTTTGAACATGCATTTCACATTCATCATTGTTCCACTTTTTGCATTTCTTGCATTATCATTCGCTAGTCCAATCGGTAAGTCAAAGTTTTACTTCCAAAAACTTAAAGAACTTTTAATTCCATAAAAATTTGAACTTGCAGACTTTGAACATAATCAAATTGAAGCTGATGAAATTGGATTAATTATAAACGATGATTCTGATTTAAATGTTGAAAATTTGGTACTTAATTGTCAGCCTAGACCCTGCGACACCTATTGTAAGAAAATTGGATTTGTTTATGGTCGTTGTCAATTCGGCAATTGTCATTGCAAAGCCAAATGAAAGTTTTACTTTAAAATTATTATTTTTAAGGCTGACTTATAAGGACACAAAACAATTAAAAGTTAAAATATCGATTTAAGAAATAAAATATTGTTGCAATAATAATCAGAATTTATTTTATTTTTATTTACGACTTGGTTCCTTGATAAACTTAATTTTAAGGATGAAACGGGTTATTTCATTTTTATAGAATTTAAATGTTTCATATTTTATTTAAATTTTCTATGGTTAAAATACATTTTTTAAGGCTTTCAACAATCAAGTGATTGCAAAGATGTTTTAAGATTTTAAATTGAATTCGTTAAAGTTTTTAATATTTTCAATTACGACAGTTGCAAACTTTTCTTGAATCACACCATCCGCCTCTAAATCCTTTGAGAATGCAATGAATTGCACATGCTGCATCACTTCCGAAAATATCACACGTAACTCTTGCAGCACGATCGTTAGCTTCATCACCTTCGATAACTGTGTCAAATTGATCTTTAGAAAATATACCTATGAAAATATGAGGAATCAAAAATCTTATAAACTTACCTATTGGATTAGCGAATGCAAGTGCGAAAAATGCAAGGAATGCAATAATAATAACTGTTGTACGCATGGTTCTTGTTAAATTTTTAACACGATAATGTTTTAAATGTTCTTTAAAGTAAGTTGTTGACTGTTTAACTTTTGAAGTTCACTGACAATTTTAATTAGTCAATTGCGAAATATATATAGGATTTCTCAAAAATCGATTAAAATCTATTTGATAGTAAAATGTAGAAATTAAAACGTAAACATGATAAGCACATATCATAAGTCAAGTTTGAACTTAAGTAAGACAAACAATTGTATAACCATATTATCCAAGGGGATTTACCTATTAATATATTTGATGAAGTTTGTTTGATTTTGAAATTTTTATTAAGGAAAAAACAAATATAAACATAAATTAAATCGTCTTATTTATAAAAAAAAAACAGGATTAACGGGATTAACAAAGAAAATCTAGTTTCATCCTATTTGATCGATATTCATAGTTCAAAATCCAGTTCACCATTCTGATTAATTCAAGCGAATTTCATCATGCATGTTTTCAAATTCATGCCAAAAAATTGATTCATATTGCTCGATAAGTGCTTATCATAGGCACGTTTTAATTCAAGTACTGCACTATCAATTAACTCATTAAAACTGTCAGTGAACTTCAAAAGTTAAATAGTGTTATAAATTTAACAAGAATCATGCGTACAACAGTTCTTATTACTGCATTCCTTGCATTTTTCGCACTTGCATTCGCCAATCCAATAGGTAAGTTTATAAGATTTTTGATTCCTCATATTTTCATTGGTATATTTTCTTAAGATCAATTTGACACAGTTGTTGAAGGTGATGAAGCTAACGATCGTGCTGCAAGAGTTACGTGTGATATTTTTATGAGTAATCCTCTGTGTGCAATTCATTGTATTGCAAAAGGATATAAAGGAGGCTATTGTAACAATAAATTAATTTGTATTTGCCGAAACTGAAAACATTAAAAATTGCACATTTTTCCAAAAATTGATAGCTAAATGCTTCAACAAATGTTTTTAAATTATACTGAGGTTAAGAAATTTAATAAAAAATTATTTGTAGTATTTTGAAAATAAGAAAATTTTAATTAATATTTATTAGATTAGCATACAAATTGAGGATATTATTGTGAAATTAAATAATCTTTAGAGAAATAATTAATTGACTTTTAACGGCAGTTGCAAACTTTTCTTGAATCACACCATCCACCTCTAAATCCTTTGAGAATACAATGAGTTGCACATGCTGCATCACTTCCTAAAATATCACACGTAATTCTTGGATTACGATCAACTGGAGATGATTCATCTTCAATAATGTTCTTTTCTAAATCTGAAAATTAGTTTCATATTTTTAATTGTTATTATTTAAACCAGAATAACTCACACCTACCAACTGGATTTCCAACAGCCAAAGCAATGGCTGCAAGAACTAGAATAACAATAATTGTGAAACGCATTTTTATTTTTTGTTGATATTTATATATATTATTTAATTAGGATTTAATGTTCCTTATTGATTAAAATTTTTGTGTTCTTGGTTTGTTGCTTGTAAGATTTTCAATTTTAACTGATGATTTGAGTCAAAAAATTTTGGGTTTATAAACAAAATTGACAACTAGGTTATCAAAGAAATTGTAAGAATGTCATGACCTTAAAATCGATTTTTTTTACTTAATTTTGCACAAATATCTGAAAATGGTTGATAACCCAATTTAATTTCATTTTCTCGGAAAATGATTTCTTATCTTAAGTTCAATTTAAGATGTTTTACAATAAGAAACCGGCTTCAGCAAATAATTGGAACCATCTTGAAAACTATTGAAATCAATTATTTTATATCAGTTTGAAGTTTATTCATAAGTTAAGAATCTAAATTATAAACAGCTAATCTGAAATTCTTTGTGATTTTTCTGTTTCTGTGCTTCACTTCACCGGGATTTACTTACGATGTGCTTTAGTAAGCAGATCCTTAATTAAATTCAATTCCTCTGATTATACCTTCGTCTTTAATAAAAAATTAATAAATTGTTTAAAAATAGGAAACATGTGTTTTACAATTGTTATAATTGAATTTTTGTGCATCATTGGTTTGACTTTTGGAAATCCAGAAGTTTAATTTTTGAATGTCCAAAATAAAGGAAAATTATTTTTTTTAATCCAGATCTCAATGAGCAAAATATTGAAAATGGACAATTAATCAAAAAACAACATTCACTTGTTCGACATAATAGATTTACTTGTGATATCTTGGGTAGCACACAAGCTTGCGATCTTGCGAAGCTTGTCTTGTTAGAGGATTTCGAAGTTAGTGCGATGATGATAAAGTTTGCAACTGTCGTCGTTAAAAATTTTATTACAATAAATTTAATTGATTTCAAATTAAAATAAAAGAAATAATAAAGTTTAAAATTTGAAGAGCTTAAAACAATTTTAAATTTTTATTTATAACCATTATAAAAAGAGCAGCCATAAAAGGAATTATTTATTTGGAATACTCGTCAAATTATCTAGGCTGACATTTAATTTTCTGCGCCACAAACTCTAAATTTGGAATTTCATCACCAAAAAGTTTGAAACAGCAAAACATGAAATTTATACGAGACCAAACATCAAAGAATTAAAATTACTTTAAATTTGAATTGGAAAATAAAAAAATCATCAGAAATTATTATTTTGTTGCAACAGTATTTTTATTTCTTAAATTTATTAAAATTATAAAAATCAAGTAAGTTTATGCCAGTTTAGAGCAGCTTAGTAATATTTATGTATAATTTCTTGTTACTTGTAGCACTCGCAATTTCCAAAGATGTTGCATTTTCCATAAATATGGCTTATTCGTCTACAATAATTATAACAATCTCTTGGAATACATCCGAGTTGAAGAGTCTCTAAATCAGAATCATCATTTATCACAATACTGTTCTCATCAACTTGTCCATTATCTGCGAATTAAAAAATTCATAAAATTTTGTTTCTTAATCTTTAAGAAAATATTTGACTTACCAATAATTGGCGTGGCGAGTGTCAGTGCAATTAACACAAAAAGTGCAACAATGAAGAATACGAAACGCATTTTAAATTTTGTTTGTTCTTTTATTTATTTGTAGCTTTTAGAGAACTTTCTGTTCTTTAAGATTTTGATATTTTACTTAGATTTGATTGATGTAAAGCTTCAATTAGTTTTGATAAATTTTAATGAAAATCATGGAGTTTTTATACAAAAATCATTCAAAGATTATCTTTCGTTGCTCATGCATATGCTTTAATTAGGTTATTGCCAACACATTTGTTAATTTCAATGGTTAAAGATTGACCTAGTTTGATTTCATTTTCACGAAATTCAGGAGCACTTATCTTATCTTAATATTTCATAATAAAAGCAAATAATGAAGGATCTTTAAATATTTTGAATTGCTGAACTTACAATAAAAGTGTGCAACACATAAAACTTTGATTTTTGAGGATGGACTTATAATAAAAATGAAGCTGAGTTTTAGATAAAGTTTAGTTGAATCATTTATGAACGATTCTTTTCAATTGGATCAATTAACTACTAGAATGTTTCATTATAAACACAAATCAAGGGTGTGGTGCTGATGAAATGATCAAAAATGATCAAAATGGAATTTTTCAGTTCCACACTCTTGATACAAATCTGGTTCTTTTTAAGAAAATAACCTTTGTTGAACCGTCAACGTAATTACAATAGATCACTTTTTTTTGAAGCACATTTAAAATTTAGATTTTGACATTTCAACAAAATTAGGTCAATATTTTTTTGATAATTAAACTTGTGCAATGTTTGATTATTTGTGGTTGTTATCAATTGTGGACATTGAATTAAATTATCAAATTTATTACAGAAAAGCTGATTAAACTCAATCAAGTTTATTGCAATAAGTAAGTTTTAAAAATTAATATAAAAACTCCATGATTTTCATTAAAACTTATCAAAACTAATTGAAGCTTTAAAGCAGTTAAATCAAAAGAAAATTTCAAAAATCAAAAACTTTAAAAAATTAAAACATTCAAAATGCGTTTCACATTCTTCATTGTTGCCCTTTTTGCATTCATCGCATTGGCATTCGCTACTCCAATTGGTAAGTTCGAATGAATGAAAATAATGAAATAATCGATAAATTGAAAACTTAATAAAAATTTCATTCTTAGATGACGAAAATCAAACTGATTTAAAAATTGGGGATGAAAAATTAGTATGTGTATTATCAAAATGCAACGAATATTGTCGATTAATAAGATACACTTATGGTAAATGCACAATTTTTGGGAATTGTGCTTGTTACTTGCAAAAGTAAATTGTTTTCGCTGTGCTGGATTATAAATATGTAAATCAAATATCTTTAATAATTTGTTAATAAAAAATAATGAAAATTGTTGCAACATTAAATTTTTTTATTAATTTCTTACATTTACATATCTAGTCTCTAAGATTATTTGCAGCTAGTTTTTAGAATATTATTTATAAAATCAGGAATAATAACATTAAGTTAATAAGTTAAAGAATATATTGATATTTTGTATCAGTTGTGGCAACGACAAGTACTTCCATCACAGTTTCCTGTTCGCCAGTTCGCAAGCCAGCAATCTAAGGCACATCTAGTTGAATTGCATCTTGCTCGTTGTGGAACAATTACTTCCAAAGTTTCATCAGGTGCATTGTTGACAATTTCTTTGTCATCTGAATCAAAAATATTGAGATTTATTGCAAATAAAACTTAGTTCCAAACTTACCAACAGGAACTGAATTAGTAAATGAAAAGATTGCAAAAATTGCAACAAGAAAAATTGTTAAACGCATTTTTATCTGATATTTTAATTAACTTTATTTAACTTTAAAAAGATTTTTCGAATAGTTCTTTGTAGTTTGTTTTCTTTGAGGCTTCTGAAACTTGACTGATGATTTTCGATAAAATATTTTTTGTGTTTATTTAAGGTGACAAATCATTACAATTTTAAGAAATGACGAGAAAAGGAGTTTGAACCAGTTGAAATTGTCATTTCTTATCAATTTTGAACGATTTCGTCATCTGCTGACTGTCACAAATAAATCACATAATTTTACGAAATATTTTTATCAAAAAAAAAAAATCATTTTTTTTTATTTCATAACATTAAAAACTATTAGACCAACATGGTTTTTGAACTGTAGGATCGGTCTCGACATCTTTACTTCAATCTCATGTTGATGAATAAAAGAAAACTGACTCAACTTGCATTAATATCAAACCTAATCTAATTCATTTTGCTGATTCTTGAAAAAAAAAAATGAATTTATCCTTATCTTAAAAATTTAAACCCCACATTTCACAACATTCCACCAAATTTTTTATCGGATGATTCCCCTTTGTTATTTTTGTTTTTAAGCCAAAATTACTTTGAGTTCCACTTTACGGGCACCTATCAGAATTAGCTCATTCATTATCATATCAAATTGAAGTGCTTCTTGATAATGGATTATAAATTTCACAATGTTTTCGCAATTATTGGCAGTGAACTTCAAAAAGTAGGGCAGTAAGCTAAAGATCGTGAAAATATAATTACTAAATCATGCATTTAAGAGTCATCATAATTGCATTTTTTGCATTGTTTGCATTAGGATATGCCCATCCATTAGGTGAGTTTAATATTTTAACAAGATTCAGAATAATAATTTGAACATTATTATCTTTCAGGTTCCTTCCCCGAAAATTTACCAACTAATGATAGAGCAGGAAGGATCACGTGTGATGTCTTCGGTAGCAATACTTTATGTGCATTACATTGCATCCAATTGACCTATAAAGGAGGATATTGTAATGATAAGAAAATTTGTATTTGCCGGAATTGAAAGTTTTTTGGTTGTGACGAGGAATAAATTAATAAAGATATTAGTTTTGTGCTGCTAAGGATAATAATTTGAAATATGACTAAAGATGCTATTGCCAATATAAGGCCTTGTATTAGTTTTTACAGAATCAATATCCAGATCCAAATTGAATTTTCACCTTGATTACTTCATTTGCATATTATTTAACTGAGATCTTTGCAATAAAATGTGTGCCACTGACACATTTGTACCTTTGTTTAACATTAGTCTCCTTATCTGCTGCAAAAAATATTTTCTTAGTTCAGAAATAATGCAAATAAATCTACGTGGTTATCATCATTAAGTGATTTGGATATAAAAGCTTGTTGTTCATTATTTCTAATCAAAAGATTAAAGGAACTATAAGCAACAAGAAGAATTTACTATCAGAAGAATAAAGAAAAATGAAATTCACAATTGTAGTTTTTGCATTTATTGCAATCTTCGTTTTGGCTATGGGAAATTCAATCCGTAAGTTAAGTTTGAGATTTCTTTAAACAGTTTGATATCAAAAATCAATTTTTTAGAAGAAGATGTCGGCGACGATTCAACTGACGAGCCACTAGGACGTCAAGGAAGATTAACTTGCGATTTCTTTGGAAGTACTCGTTTTTGTGTTGCTAATTGCTGGCGTTTGGGATTCAAAGGTGGCTGGTGTGACTCACGAAATGTTTGCAACTGCCGTCGATAAGTTGAAGTGAAATTCCAAAATGATGATTCTGGTAATATCATATTAGATGTATTTGGTGTCGGAAGTAGAAGATTATTGAAATTAAAGACCATATTTTATCATAAGATAGAATATTTGTACTGTTTCTAATGGATGTGCAGAACCAAATAATTGATATCTATCCACAAAATCAGATCTTAATTCAATTCCTTCTACCCACGATAAGAACTGTTTCTTTTCAATAACTCAAAACAAATCGAAAATGTTCGGTGATTTTTTCTCATCTGTGCTTCACATTATTTTAATTTCTTATGCTAATCACTAGGGAATCACTTACGACTTGCTTTTAATAGCAGACTGATTTTGAATTATTAAATAATTTTTTGTTCGATTGAGTTTTTGTATATAAAGGAACTTTGAAAAATGATTTACATCAACATAATCAGTTTGAAGTTCTAACAAGAAGGAAGTCTTCTGATAGAAAATTACTTGTCTAATTAGAATTGAAATTTTAAATTTTAGAAACATTTAAAATGCGTTTAATAATTTTTGTTGTTGTATTTTTTGCTGTTATTGCTTTGGCTGTTTTAAATCCAGTTGGTAAGTAAATTTTACAAGTTAAAACTTAACTCTCGATTCTAGATTTTTTGAAAATTTGTTAAATAAACTTAAATCTGCAGATTTTGAAGAGCAGAATTTTGAAGGACCAAATTTTGAAGATCAACAATTTCTCGATGAATCAGTTCCATTTGTTCGTAATAAGAGACTTACCTGTGACATCTTAGGAAGTACTCCAGCTTGTGCAGCTCATTGTATTGCCAGAGGATATCGAGGTGGTTGGTGTGATGGACAATCTGTTTGCAACTGTCGTCGTTAATTGTCTGTAAACTTAATTTTATATTTTTCGATCAATTATAATAAAAATGAACAAAATTTAAATCAAGTTATATTTATTATCAAATTTTCAAAAGCACTAAAATTTGCTGGTTTCATACATTTTTAAGTCTACTCTCAAAATCTTCAATTTTAAAAATTTCAACACTTTATTTCATTGTAATTTTTTCTTCAATTTTCAAATAATTTCCAAAATGTTTATAACATGATTTAGATCTACAATTATGTTTCGTTGTAATGCATATGAATATATATGCTATTCTAATTTTGGTTATAATGATAATAATATGTTTAATTATTAAAAAATTATATTGAAAATCACAAATTATAATGAGGAATTTGATTAATACTTATTGATAATTAATGCTACAAAAATCGTTTAAAGTTTGAACTTTAAAGGTTTCAAAAATAAATTTCCAATTTATCAGTTTCATTAAGTTTTTGCTTTCTTTGTCTAATTTAAAAATTTGAATAATTTTCACATTTCTGTTATCATAAGGTACAAATTAAATATGTTGATAAATTTCAATTCATTATGGTCATTAATATCATATTAAATTCTATTCTTAGTGGTATAATTCAATGATAATACAAGCCTCGTCAGTTTGATATGTTTATAAATTATTATGCATCTTGTGAACCCTCATCTTCAGTGCTTTCTGTTAAGTTTGCTGCTGAATCATTTCCTGGTATAGTGCGATATGGCTGCAAGTGCCTAAAGGAAGAGAAAATAGATTTTGAATTAGAAATTGAATTCATTAAGATGCTAATACGAATACTTTCAAGGATTAGTAATAATTAATTGTAATTAAGTTGTGCATAAGTTAGTCAGACAATGTTGTTTATCCTCTTATACAAAATAAGTGTATTTAGAATGAATTTCGATGAAATTGAAAATTTGCAATGATTAAAAAAATTTTATGTGAGAATTTATGAAATTATTGAGATCGAAATAGTCAAGCATAGATACAAGAAAAGAAGCAAACTTCATCAAGTTGACCAAATTAAAATTCACATTCAGTATTGTGAAGATTAAGTTGAGGGATGTCCACGAGGAGGACTTTGCAATTCAAACATATCCTCAAACATGATGATTATGTGAAAATAAAATCAAAATGCTATAATAAGCTATAGTAAACTATTGATTTGATCAAGGTGATCCCTCTGAATGTTTATTTTTAAAAATCGTCGTCTTTTATTAGAGATTCTAAATCTCGGTATCGATACCGGCATTTCTTTATAAGATCTGTTTAAAAATGAATGAAGTTACTATCAAATATCTTTTGGTTCTAGAATCCCAAATATACCAGTCTCAAAAATCAAACGAACAAAAAAAAAACTGCATTTTAAATTACTAGCAAAGCTATTCAATGTGCTCTAATAAAACATCGTCCATAACCATAAATAAAGTTCAAACTACAAAGCATCAAAGCAAAATTGAGATTATATTCTTTATTTTTTCATAATTATATCCATAGTACGTAAAAAAAGTTCTCATCACTATAACAAACATATAAATATACATATACAAATAAGATTCACTAAAAATACTAATTTTTTTTATGTCATAAGTCTAAGTTTGCTGTAAAATCGAATAGTAAAAGATTCAAACATTTTCACAAGATCAAGAGAGATTGCGACAGCAGTTATAACTATACATAAGTGGATTCAGGTAAAGAGAGACAAGTTCAGTATCTTTGGGGTTTATCAGCAGGCTTTTCAACTTTCGTAAGATCAGCACGTGAACTATCTTCAGCTAGGGTTGATTTGCTGTTGTTGAAAAAAATATTCAAAAAAAGAAAAAATTGACTTTTTTCGATCTCAAAAAATAAAAATTTTCCCACACAAATTTTATCAAAAATAATTTTCAAGCTGTTAGTAACGATTTTTTAATAGAAAATAAATAAATATCATACATAATGGATTTTAAGGAATCCATGCTTTCGGTACTGTCATTAAAATGTATTATTAGGTCGTTGGATCTATATTAATTTTTGGTATAGGTCAAGTTAAGGGTGTTATAAATATTTACATGCGATTATTAGCTTTTTACTAAGGATTTTTTAAGGATATGTCTTTAAGAATTGAATATTCAAATACAAACCTATACAAGACGTAATGTTGAATCATAAAGAGAATATCAAACAATACTGAGAATAATCCAAGGCCAAACTTTGTTGGATCACCGAAAATTGATTGCCAATCGTCTAAAAATTGAAAAAAAATTATCACATAAAGTTCCTGCAAAATAATTTAAAATATTTACTATAATTATAAGAATTAAGCATCATTTGAAGCATTGACAAAATTCCTCCTGTAAAGTCCAATAAAATATTTCCAATACTCCATCCGACTGTACTCTTTCTTCTGTAATTGAGAATTGCCTGTGGCACATATTTAACTAAAGTTATTGCTAGTTTGATGTAGCTGCAAGTGTTGAGGAAGTCCAACCAGTGGAGATTTCCTATTGATGACATGATTATGACTACGACTAAGACTGTTGTAAAGATTCCGAGAATTCCTCGTGCGATATCAGAGACGCGTTGCTCGCCACGCTAAAATATTATTGAAAATCTTTGATGAAAAAGCTTGTTGATACTTGAAGGAAGTGAGTAGGAAAGAGAGTGAATGATCTGAGACAGAAGAATTAAGTGCTTTTTGTACTATGAAGGCTTAATTGAACATCGCTACTCAATCTACTCAAATTCCACTAGATTCTACTCAATCTACTCAAGTTTACAGCAATCTGCTGTAAATGTCTACCAATTCCATTCATTTTATTACCTCATACATAAAGCACTGAGTTATTGTCACAGCGGTGATCACAGATGCATGAATTGAGAAGAAAACATCATTAAGCTCGACAGGATTCGTTCCTCTTGGGAATCTACTAAAATATTCTTCTTGGAAGAATGGCACAAAGTACAGGCAGGTGTTGAAAATAGCATAAAGTGTATGTCCAACAAAGTTTAACGCCAAAAAGTCAAAACTTAATCCAACGACGGATTTTCTTTTGTAATTGATCACAAGTTGTGGATAGAATGAGACTGACCATGCAACAAAGTAAACCCATCCAACAATGAATGATACGTAAATGATGATTTGTGAATTTGCGACAATGATTCTGAAGAATAATCCAAAATCGTCGACCAGTTTTGGTGGTGTTGCTACTCCTGTGATATCCACATGTCCAGGACTAATACCCAATACTGAAATGTTGAATTTCCCCGACGCATTTGCAGCTATTATAAATAATTCTGGTGTTACTGTAACTGATCCTGGATGATTTTCAGTAAAATTGAGTGTGAGGCTTTCATTGACTGGCTTGCTGTAAATATTTTGATAAATTATTGATAGAGATCTTCAAGATTTATGGATGTTAATGTCAACAACTTACTCTAGCCACAGCGTTATTTCCTCAACTTCATTTATAATTAACGTCAAGTCTGTTTTTGATGCTGTGAATTTTGGTAAACTGTTTTGGCAATGCACGGTACCTAAAAATAATTTTTGGTTTGCTTATTTTTACTTCTGATTACAAAATTGATGCTGATAAAAATAGAAATCGTAATGTAATTTGATGTAGATTGCATTTCCTATTGTTACTTGAGAAATGCGAGAAGTTGTAAGTTTGTTTAGGAACAGATGTGACATTTGAAGATAAACATGCTTGTCGGAATTTCATCCGGATTGTAGTCACATGTGTGCTTAGGTGTTTTTTTTTATAGAACTGCTGAGGAATGTTAACAAAAGTCAACATGTTGTTCTGAATGGGAATTGTTAATTTGGTCTAGTTACTAGACTTAAGGTTGATCATATAACCTAACCTCCTCATCATCATTGACTTCTCTATTCAAAAGTTTATAATAATTTTGAATTTCCTTCAATTTTGCCAAAACAAAGTAACATCAAATACGTCTAATCTTAGCAAAACTTAATTAGCTTTAAAGGTTCAATGATCAGTCGAACACAATAATCTATTATTGGCAATTAAATCTGATCATTGGCACGTGTGTTTTTGTTTGTAACATTCTGTTGTGATTAGAGTTCTTGTTGTTAAAATAATCAGAGGAAAAGTTGTGTATTTACATAAGGAACAGATGTAAACATCGTTGATGTACATTTAGTGACGTATGAGATATTTTCTTTGGAAAATCGTCAGTCATGTTTTGTGGAAATAAAGCTGGATTTCGGAAATTTTTTGTAGAATGTTAGGAAGCTTAAGAAAAAACTACTTCCACAATCCAACCATGAAATTTCACATCATGCACATCAAAAACTTTCCACTGCGATTTCTATTTTAATCATCCAATTTTTTTTATCTACTTACTCAGAAACGCCACCGCCACAAGAAGCAGGAGATTAAAATTACGATGCGACATTCTTAAAATATTCTTACTTTAAAGCCTCAATGTTGTATACTATTCTGTAAGTCGACGGTGCCTTAATAATTTTATTTATGTTTTTTTTTCAGTCACACGAATAATCTTTTGTACTTGTTTATCAAACTTGAGTCGAGTCTCAAATAAGAATCAGATTGAAGAGAATTGCAATTTATTGTACATTAATAAATTCAAATAACGATGATTATCACTTTACGAGTACGGTACGAGTTGTAGTTTTGCTTTTTATACGTTTACGTCTGAAAAATAAAATTAGTTTTTTTAAAATGTTTGATTTTTGTAGTACTTTAGTGATCGCTTGATGAGTTTGTAGGGGCTTCAATGATGATTTGAAGTGAATAGACTATAGAAGTCTTATTATGACCGTAGCTTAATGATATTGGCATCTGCCATAACTTTAGCAATTGTCCTTCATTTAAGTCATCCAAATCAATAATTTGGATTCTACTAGCATGTAAAGATTCAGCCTGTAATATCTCAAAACCAACTTTTTCGAGTATCTGTTCCTAAAGTCAATTAATATAGTCCCTGACTTTCTCGCTATTATCATCATTGAGGTCTCCTTCCCATGCAAGACCACACAAATCATATCGCCAGACCATCTCGAGAAATTCAACGCATAATTTACATAATATTTGCACAATCGCGCCTTATTGTTCTGAGAAAAAAAATAAAAATCAAGGAAGAAGAGGAAGTGAATTCAAATTTCATCAAGCAATTAGCAGATTTTTACAGTTAGATGAGTTTTTTAATTAAATTTTTCCGTGTACTTTGATATTTATCGTAGAATAAAATTGCATTAGAAATGATTATCAAGTACGTTTGTGGCTGCATACGTAAGAATGTGTAGACTTTTGCTATGTCAATGAACTTTCTGTTGTTCTTATTATCGTGATTTTTCACTTCATGATTGTTGATTTAATCAGTTCTGATTACTAATGAAGGAAGAATTCTCGGTGATTCCTCAATTCAATATTAATTAAACTTTTTATGATTAAATTGTTTTCATGGGAAAGTGACATTAAACTGGTTGTTGAGAACTTCCCATGAATTTAATTATTGATGTTGAGTGATTTAAAGTCGAGATGTTGTTGATTCTCATGGGAAGAAAGTTTTGTGATAGCTTTTATGGTATTTTAATGATAGCTAACTTGATTTATGGCTAGACTAGATAAATAATTTTGTAAATAGATTGGACAAGATTCTTCTGTATTTTTGTTGCTTCAAAATTGATTCTCAAATACGAAAGAAAACACAAAAATAAACTCATGACCCACATCTGTGCTAGAAAATTGCATTACTAGTTCTTCTTTTGTTTTTTATTTATTGCATATGTAGAAACTTTGTAGGCATGAATGCTTATTGATGACCATCTAGGTAAGAGGATTACAAACATTTTGATATGTTTGTTTACATTCACTTTCATAGAAATTGCAAGAGATTGAAGATTGGAAGAAAACCTCCGCGATTTACTTCAATTCAGAATTCAGAACTGATAAATTCCAAAACATTTCCATAGAAACGCCACAACAAATCAAAATTTCACGTCAAAATACAATTAAGATAGCTAAGATTAAACCAAAAGCCTCTCTAATTAATCTATTAAATCATATTCACACAAAATTTTCAATTTTTGTGAATATCTTTGATAATCCTATTTTTTGATTAAAAACCAGACATGATAAGATTCACAGCTAATCTTCATGATAAAATTCCATAAAAATAGAAAAAAAAATTATTAAGTAACAGTTATCAATAATCAGGGTAGACTGATTTAAATAACTCCAAATATGTAATTAATGCTCCATATTGATAAGCATATCAATTTAAGTAAAAATTACCCCCAGACAACAGCGATTATTACAATCATATATAATTAAGCCGGCATTAAAAGCCTTACACAGACAAGCTTTTTCATCATATCTGCTCGTAAGTGAATGAGTAAACTGAGTCAATTTAAACGTGACAGTCGGTAATCACGAGATAAGATTAAATTATTACGTCAAGGAGAGTTGAAAGGCTTTATTGGATTTGCTTTAAGAAATGATTAAAATAGAGTTTATTTTGATATTCTTAATCTATTCTGAGTAGTTTTGATTTTAGTTTTTAATAATAATTGATTCGGTTTAATAACTCAATGGTACTTAATGCTTTAGTTGGTGTACTTCTATTAAGTACTTGGAAACATTATAAATCTAAGTCAATCCCCATATTTGATTAAGAGATAAATTTAGTGCCTTTAAGAAGTTTCACATGTTAACAATTAAAGATAAAATGATAAGAAATGACGACTTTCTTTTGTTTGTGTGAAAAACTTAATGTCAAGCTTATGCTAACCCAGAAAAACTGGTAATGAACGGTATGAACCTACTGATAAGGCGTTCTTGGAGAAAAAAACATTAAGTGGCTGGCTTGAAAATCGACTTTTGACACATAAAGTTGGACTTATTAAATAAATATCGAGATAGTCTAGATTAGAGTTATGGTTAAATCTTAAGAGCATTAGAACTGCCTCGACATTCAAATAGTTCCAAAACTATTGTATCGAATATGCTGGTCATGCGAACAAAACTATAAAACATCTAGTAAACTCCTTTATGTCGTTAATTCACAACTTTTCATCTAATTTTAATCTGCATATTAGCACGTCTTTAAAATGACAATTTACAATCTGCAAACAACCTAAATAGCTTAGGGGTTGTTCACTTATGACGTCCATCAAAAAACCTGTTTTTTAGACCCCCTCCCCCCTCTGTCACAAAAATTCTATAGAAAAAAATTTCCATTGTTTGAACTGTCACAAAATCCTAGATCCCTAAATGTCGGACGTCATAAGTGAACGACCCCATTAAACTATTTTTACTTTTTATGATCCTTTAACGGTCAAGAAAATTTCACAACAACATTAACCTATTAAGTAGCAATAACTCTTCTCGATCACGTAAAAGTAATTAAGCGGGATTTAACTTTTCAAATGCTTTTTACAAATGAGATTTTTTTCCATCTCAAGTTTTTGAGATTGTTGAACCTTTTCGTACATAAAATATAGTAAATAAAGCTACTCAGATGATCGAAGAACATTTATTTTTTAGGTCAAGGTCGGACTTTGATTCATTCAATCTAATTTAAGAGAAAGAAGTCCACATTAAATGTTCAATGTTTTTTGGACAAACGAAACATTCGCAAATGTCAGATAAAAATTAAATATTTATATTTATCTACGAAGACATTCACGATCGTCGTGTACGGAAAGAAAAATATTTATTTCTAAAAGAAAATTTAGATTAATGGAAAATTTTCTGAATTAATAGTAAAATTCATATGTATGCAGTCTGCAGACTGATCTACAAAAAATCTATTTTGAAAATCAAAATGAGAAGCTGAAAAGTTTTCCGTCCGTGAATCTGTGGGATGAATGAGCTGGTGTGACAGATTTTTGAATAATTTTTTGGCTTGAACTTTTGATTTTGACGCAAGGTGGAGGGGGGGGGGGGGGGTGTTGGAGATTAAATATATCCTTGACCCAACCAATCAGCTTTACTTTAAAAAAATTGTAAAGTAGAGAATTAATTTTCTTGTCAAGCAATTCACAAAATAGCTCATCTTTCTTTATGATGATAATCGCAGAACATCATAACACGTCAAACATTTCTCCATAAACTCTCTTGAATTCAGGTCAGTTCTCCTTTATTTAATTAAAATCATGCCAAACAAAATATGACTGTTAATTTTATGGATTTTCCTCAACTACGTCAAAAACCTTTAAAAATACACAAATTCAAAATGAATCATTTCAATTTACAAAGTTTGATGTAAAAAATTGAAAGTCATGCTGACTAGAATTAATAATTTTCAGATCACTAAAGTCACACATTTATTCCGTCAACAAAAATTCATTTTTTCATTGACTGATTTTTATCAATTTGATGCCATAAATTAAATTCACGACCAGCCATTTAATCAATCGTCTGAATCAATTCGAGCTAGTTGTCCGTTAAGCATTTAAAGAACATCCAGACTAGATCTATCGTTATAGTAATTTAAAAAAAATTCTTGCAAGTCATTCGAGTCTGCTGACCAAGACTGATAATAAAGAAAAAATACGTAACTTATCATCACCGCGAAATAATTTACAGTTATTCACTTGATGCGGCACATACCATTAATTCAGACAATTAAGTGATCTACCCAATGAGAATTTATGTTGTAATCGCGAAATCTGTAGCCCTTTAAGTGAGCCAATTATGTCTTTTAATTGCTCGATCCTTCAGAGATAAATTGATTGAGATTGCGGGATGATTAATAATCAGAAATGTTTTACGTCAGTCGTTAACATTGAAATCATTTTTTTAATGATATTGAATTCGATTCGCGACTGCGAAAAGCCAGTCATTTGTGTAATTTTATGCGGAAATGGATTGAAAAATTACAGAGTTCTGTACAGACTTTTTTCATGTTCTGTGGTCACTTTTTTGCTTCGAATCTCTCGTCTCACTGTTTTTGTATATACTTAAATCGTGACAAACTTTTCAATTGTTATTGTTCGATGTTTTCACAATTTCTGGAACAACCATGAAGGTCCTGATGATTAAGTTATTTTTGAGGTTATTCTTTTGAAGCATTTCGACAAATGACGCTGTTTAATTGCCGTGGAATGACTGATGTAATTTAATTAGTTGAAGTTGCATTTTATAATGATGTAATTGGATTGAGCTATAAGTTTAAATTGAGGTTTTTAGGTTAATTGAGATTTTGAAAGGAGCTCCTTAAACCATCTTAAAAACAACTTAATCTACAAAATTTTAGATTTGACACGCTTATAATTCTTATCAATGATTCACCGTCCACAATCAATTCAAAAACTCACGACTTAAATATTTTCAAATTTTGATGAATTAAAAATATTCTACGTCGTCTTAAAAGTAATCTCCTGATAAAGGCATTCTATGACTTTTAGCTAATTTTGTCATACGTCACATTCTTGATTATTCTACAACTTAAAAATACAAAACAAACTTAATTGATAAGGTTTCAGGCCTGCCTCCAAGCAAAGTTCTTTTTCTTCTTTATATGCTGCATAGATTAATGAATTTTGATAGCTTTTGTCCGATTTTTTAAAATAAAATCACTGACACGAGAGTTAATTCGGCACAGAAATTTGTCGAATTGACATTGATAATATTTTGTAGATTGACCAAAAATAGAACGAAGTAATTAAGATTCAAGAAAATAAACAAATATAATTTTATGATTTGTGATTCAAACCTCAATTTATGATTGACTGTCAATCAGAAGTTGTTAAATTTATATCTGCAAATAAATCTTTAAATATTCTATTTTATGACTGTTGAAATTTCTGATTTGAATTTATAGCTTTTTAAATA